CACTTAAAACAGTGTTGCAGGTTAATTACTAAAAACTACTGAAGGTTTTTTTATAAAATTATCAACGGATAGACATAAACACTAATCCCTTTTATCATTAGGTATAGACTAGCACATATGCCTGTGTGTTGCAACGGGAGAAAAATAAGTATGAAAATAGTGTCTACAAATAAATAAAATGCGCTCAAATATTTATTTTGGCCACATACAAATAGAAATTTTGTACAAATATACATTGAACAACAATAAATCAAGTTAGCCTGCTTTAAAGCCAACGCCGGTGACATGGCTGCCATTTACCATCACCACTTTAATGTTCAGCTTTCAGGAAAGCATATGAATCTGACAAAATATTTATATCATATTATATACCGATTTTGTTAGATTCACAACTGATCGCCTGAAAGCTACTTTGAGGATTAGCATATTTGCGAAAGAGGGTAAATAACTGATCCAAACAAACACACAATTCGATCAAATGATAGTTATGCTCCTGAACACATCGAGCAGAGCATGCATGAGATTTTCATAATGGACGACATGTATTATGAGGCTGTATAACTTTGGCCAGCTCATCAAATCCTTCCAAGGTCAAGGAATTTGCAAATTGAAGAAGTAATTTATGCAAAAGAACACAACTTTTCTCACACTATAGTGATACAGTAGCTATCTGGATGTAACATTTCTCTGCATGTGCTTCATGTGAAGGTGCTGCCAACCATTGTCAAGGACCAGACCCTCAATATACAACAAAGTAATGGAGTAAGTGTTCTGATGTTAAATTACAAAACATAGCCATGGCCCATGTTCACAAGCGTGTGAGTGGAAATGCATTTGATCTAATTATACAAAAGTCTACGAAATTCAGAAAGATGTTATACTGTGCAAAGAAAGAAAAATATACATGCCAGACATGTGCCCACATCGAATTGCGCATATGCATTATCCCATCATGAAAATATCAATTGGTTCATTGTGTTGGCGGATGCATATGACTTGCAGCAGGGTAAAGAAAATACAAATATGCTACACAATTTGTGAAATAAAGCTTGCAAGTGAACCACTATGAAAGAAATCTAACATTACTGCATTTACGACAGTGCCAGACAACTGGTTAGCCAGTCTATTATCTGGAAAGGAACACTCAAAATAAAGTATCTTCTTTAATTATCATGCACTCCATGAAATAAAAAACTACAGGGTGGGAAGAGTTACCCTCCTAATACCAAATCTTAACACCGACCAAGTTCAAGAAACACAGTGTAACATATTCACATGAGGCAACAGAACAGAAAACAAAGGATGAGTAGATTCTCATATTTGAGGCGCTCTCCATCTTCACTGGATAATTATTAGGTACTCCCTCCGTCCGGAAATACTTGTCATCAAACTAGATAAAAAAGGATGTATCTAGATGTATTTTAGTTCTAGATACATCTCTTTTTATCGATTTTGATGACAAATATTTTCGGACGGAGGGAGTAGGTTGAAGTGGACTTTGTTAGGTCAATACAACAGGCTAATTCCCATAAGAGAAATGATTCTGCACGTTACTTGGACAAGATAATGATTTTTTGCAACTTCCATACGTATATATTACCATTTGCCTGTTACTTCCAGAACTAAAAAAAATGATGACTTGGAAGACGTAGAGAGCATGAAAACAGGTAGAATGACACGGAGGCTGAGCCATGTGTGTCGCAGCACGCTGCTAATCAAGAATTGAAAGGAATGCTAATCTAAACCAGCAGCTGCTCAGGTTACATGAGAAAACTGAATATAGCCATGTGCTCAGATTTAGTCAATAAGGAAAAGGCAAGGAGAAAGCATATTGTGGCCGATTCATGTACATGCCTCTCAGCAACAATCTCATAGCATTGATCCTTTTCTCTCTTTAGCAGCACTGAAATCCTCCTGAACATTCAGGAAAGAAAATTGGCTATCATGATTGATGGGCACAACCAAAACAGCTAGTAAGGAAACAAATAGAACATCTTTTGATGGCGAAATTATTGGAAAATAGCAGATAATTCTATATGCATCAATCCCCATAGCTCCCCTTGCGCCATCTTACGAAGGTCCAAGTACCATGTCTTCTAAGAACATAGAATCTGTCTATCTATGCATCGAATCACATGAAACAGAAAGGGCATCCCACAGCTAGCTTCAACAACAACAAAAAGCTACATGACTCATAGAATAAAAATCTTCATAGGATTTAATGGTTAGATTAGCATTAGCTGATGGATTAGTAGAAACTCTTTACTGGAAATCACTAAGCTTTATCCATGACTTTTCTTTAACTGTGCTTCAGCAATGAAATTCAGGTTTAATAGAACAGTGCATATTAGCATCAATTCTTATGGATTAGAAGAAAATCTTATCTACAAACAATCATCAGTGATGAGAATTAGTAATGACAGATGTAAATAAAGTCAAAAGTTAACAACGGGTTCTTCACATGTTCATAACAATCCAACTAAACAAATTTTGGATTAAAAAATGAATATCATGACAAAATCTTAGGACAACATAAACTCCATGTACGGAATTTTAACCACTTCTTCAATTATCCAGATCAAGAACTAAAAATAGCAAGAATAAAAGTTGTGGAAGACCACAAGAAACATATACACTGATGCATGAAAGAAATTCAGAAGGAAAAAAAATAAAGCGCATAGATATTACTCTAACAATGCGTATGAAGAAAAACAAATCTTAGCCGGTCATATACATACCTTTGACCAGCAGCACAAACACCTAACATGGAGGAAGTAATTAGAAGATCAAAAGCACCTCCCGTCCATGAACAAAGGTGCAGATTAATTGCTCAAAAAAGGCTAAAAAAAGTCTTTGAATCTTACGGCACTATTCGATGATTCATCACAAAATTAAGATTAAGCAAATAATCAATCTATACAGGAGCACATCTTGTAATTTACAGAAGATTACCATGTGATTTTGCTGAGATAATTGCAAGTTAAAGAACTCCTAGCCGTACATGACCATAACAAATAATCAATCTGTACAGAAGATTACCATGCAATTTTGCTGAGATAATTGCAGTCAAAGCATGCTCTGGAAACAACGGGCCACCTTGGCCAAGGCCGGTGCTGCACCCACCTGCTGCTTTCCTGCTGATGCCCCCCTGTTGCGTCTCTCCGATTCCCATCCTCTCGCGCATCCTGATTCTGAGAAACTGTCTCAATCTTTCCCTTCTCTCTTTCACTATTTTCTCACCCGGAATGGAAATTACTCCAACCCAGTAGCAGCAGTAATTGCTTCAGACAAGAGATCACCAACTCTGGGACTCACAAATACAACAACAGGAGGTTTGAAGTACTGCTTACTCTTAATTATCTCAAAAAACTTCCGCTTCTTATGCTTAGATTCCACCCAAATTACCACTTGTCTAATTGATTTGTTTGGTTTACCTGGATTCCCACAAGAAATACTCCATGTATCAGTCATGTTGTAAGACAGTGAGTTTGACAATTTCTAACTGTACTATTGCTGAAAACATCATGAACTGTGGACGTGAGAGCATGCGAAAGATCTGCATGGCCTAATCTCTGAATCCTCTCTCTAGCGAGCAGTCCACTTCATCCAAAACAAACACAGAAACATCTGTAATTAAGGTCGACACTGTATGCAGAGGTCGGGGCTTCTCTGCCGCCGGTTCCCCGTCCACCACGACCAACACCACCACAGCAGCCAGGCCTCCGAGCTGTGCTACACCCCGGTGCATCAGCACAGCAACCCGCTGTCCGCCGCGGCGTTCGCGTCGACCAGGGGCGGCGGCGCAGCCGATAATGACCGGCGGCTACGGGGAATTTGACCAAACTGGTGGTCCTGGACTCAGGGCAAAGGAGGGAAGGCCGCTGGGGAGATGGAGTCTAGGGAGAGGGAGGCGTGCCCGTGGTGATCGTCGGCAAGAGGGGCTGTCGGGGTGGCGGCGCAAAGGGCGGCGTCGGCAGCGATGGAGGGAGTCGCGGTCGGCAGGAGGTGGCCTCGCGCTGGAGCCTGGAGGTCGAGATGAAGTCTCGAGGGAGAGGGATGCGCACCCGTGGTAGTCGTCGATGAGAGGGGCTACCGGGGTGGCGGCGCAAAGGGCGACGGACTCGTCTGGATTTGGCGACTGCGGAGCGAGGACTTGCGTCATGGAGTGGCGGGATATGGGGTCGCGACGGCGACGGCCAAGAGGAAACCCTCGCGTTCTCGGGGCAGAAATTCCAAAGACGGGTGAGTCTTTTTTTTGAGCTGGACGACGGGTGAGTCTTGGGCTGCTTATGAAAACGTCAGGCCCAACCAAAGAACGAAACGTTTTTCTCTGTGACCACTTAAAATAGTACTTTGTCTCAAAAAAAACTTAAAATAGTACTGCGGCTTAATTATGGAAAAACACAGGGATTTATTTGTAAAAGTTACGCGATGGTAAACCAACTCAATCCATACTTTATTATTACTAGCAAAAGTGCCCGTGCGTTGCAACGGGAGAAACAAATTATCACATTTAGCGCCCCATCCTTGTTACCACTTATTTTCTTTGTACTCATTGTCGGTCACGATGTCCACTACACAACAAACGTTCCACCTAAGCTTGGAGCCAATAAAGAATCGTCTACATACATAGACCAGCCAACGGTCGTGTTTGAGATCCCGGGCACATCCGCACAATCAAATGCGTGCGCCTTGTGTTTGTGCTATCCATATTTTACATCGTATAGTAGTTCAGTACCAGTCTGTAAAGGACAAAAAAAATCTCCAAATTTAACTTTAGTTTAAAACGATTAACACCTTTTTTTGCAGGGTAGTACAATCAACACCAAAGAATAGGGGAGGTTGCGAGTTTGATTCATGTCACGGTCAACTATTTTTGTCTCATCTCCTAAACGGGCTGGTGGGTTTGATTTGTTGGGCCGGATCGCACAGACAGGTTGGGAGGGCATTGTTTTTTTATTGGTGGAATGTATCACGGACGAACGGGGCAGAGGCCCGGCGGCCCAGGACAGACGATATGTAGAATAGCCTAGCTAAGTATGGAGCAACGCTATGGACATACCAAATGGGAGGCCAAATAATATTATACCTCCATTTATATAAAAAAAATAGCATATAGTACGCCTGCCATTGGTTCAAATCAAATTCCATGCCAACCAAATATGGCGCCCACAACTCCCGCACGTCCTATCCATTTGGTAGGGTTCCTCCCTCAATCCTCTCTCTACTTTGGCAGCCTACGTTGCAAGCCTCTATTTTGTAATTCCACCATGTATAAATCTGGATAACCGCAAAATAGAGGAAGAGAAATAGATGGACAAAGTTAGATTATAAAATGAAAAGATTAAAACAAAGTAGGGGAAAATCAGTATGTAAATAACTTACATGCTTGAATTGTACCAAACAAATGTCCACTTTTAACATCTTCTCATAGATCATTAAACTTCATATTCAAGACACGTGTAACGATATCCGGTCGATCATTGTAAACATGTCCAGCTTCATATGAAAGCACCTACATTCATGCTAAATATTCTTTTCCGACAATGACCCTGTCGTATTATGAGAAGCAATTTTTTAATTACATTGGTAAATACCAAAAGCACCTACTTAAGAGTTAATTTGCTGAATTTTGCCATCTGCAACTCTCAGTAGAACTGAATATTAGGGGGCAATTTTTTTTAATCAAAGATAAGATGAACATGTCATTAATTTAGGTGAGCTCTTTTCTATGCAGAACTGATTGCTCCATAAAATATTATAAACCTTATATTAGTGCATAAAAAATATTATGAGGTCTATAATGAAACTGAAATAACGTGATCAAAAACTAAATTTTGTAATTAAAATGCTAGGTCTGGGGCCTAGGGAACTCACCACAAAAATGAGCTTATTCTGTTTCACCCTTGTATCACTCTGAATCAATAGATTGAACAGTTAATCTTCATTCTTGTACCATGTAGACATACAGGTTGAGCATCCATCATGTATTGAAAGACAGTGATGCTTTCTTCACCAAAGAAACCAATCACGGGTAGGAGAGAGAGGAAAAAACATGTCACACAGTCTACTCCAGCACAGTGGCTGATCAGTCCTTCCTGTCAAGACCGTCTAGAAGGATTGATGAAGCGATCAAGCTGTCAATAGAAAACAAAAACAATGGGTAGTCGTCTAGTACGTACCTGTAGAAGCCGCAAATGCCGAGGTGAGCAAGCGAACCCACGGAGAGAAGCACCAGGACCGCGACGGGGTGTTATTTCCATTGCTCCCCTCCTCTGTCCATTAATAGAACATTGATAGAACGATTACTAAAATCTTCCTGCTATGGAGGTCAAGCTGGATACAAACTCCTTTTCTGCAGCTGGACATGTTTTTTTCTAACAAAGCAGAAAAGGGTAACCAAAATGTAATATCAGACGATTACTAAAACTAAAGCATGGCTACACACATACGCAATGAGCTAATCTAGTTGACAGGTAACGTGCGAGCATGATTCTTATTTCTTACGCTGAGACGGAGCGGATGATTGTGGGAGCTTTGCATCAGGGTGTCATCAACTTCGAGACCACAGGAGGCAGAGGCTAGCGGGAGAGCAAGCAGCATGTGGCTAGAGTAAGGAGCTGCAACACACCAGAGTAGGCAGAGGCGGCTCCAGTAGAGACGTCGCGAGCAGGGGCCGGCGGTCGTGAGAGACAATGGCTGCATAATTCGCCGCCACCACAACTTCTTCCCTCTGGTGCAAAATTCACAACAATGAGATCAATCTTTTTAGAGGACTGGGCCAAAGCTAGATGCACCACAGATAAGAGAGAGGGAACAACAAATTACAAGGATGGTTTTGGTATGGATTCACAGAAGAACCTAATCAAATACCATGACATCATACTGCTCAGAATTCAGAAATTCATTCAATTCAGGCACTCCAGAGGATGATCCATCAGTACATCGAATAAATCTACCCAAGAATTATTTTACCAACTAAAGAAGCATGTTCCAGATCAAAATTTCAGGCACGAGATGTCAAACACAGCAAACTGGCTGTTCAGCCCAAATCTAAAAATGAAACACACATCTATCGAATCTCAGTCTAGCGTACTCCTTAGCCTTGCCTAGCAAGCCCGTCGGCCAGTCACCGGAGCCGCCATCGCCGGCGACTGCCTCCCTCAACCTGCGTGCGCCCCTTCTCCTTCTCCTTTCTTCCTCTGTTTCCTCTCTCCCTCAGGCCCTTCTCTTTCCTTCTATGGATGAGCAGGACGTCGCTGGCACCGGAACAAGCCGCCGCACCAGCTGCCAGATCGGTCGATGCCGCGCCCGGATCTGCCCTCTTCCTCACGCAGCCACCGCGCCTCGCATCGCCTGCCGGCCGCCTGCGCGTTCCCGCGGGTTAGGCATCTATATCGGGTTGGGGGAGGGGAGGGAGCGGGGAGGATGGTGGTGGTCGCCTCCGGTGCGAGGCGAGGTCGAGCGGCGGGGTGGCCTGCGCCGGTGCCAATCGAGGCGAAGCGGTGGGGGCGATGCAGCACCTTTTCGGGACTTTTTTTTCTATCGCGAATCGTTATTTCACTTAGGGACGTTAGTGCGGGTTGAATTAGTACCACCTCGTTTGTATTACGATTTTGTCTATACAAATCGTAAAAGCGTATTATGACATGAGAAGAAAGCGTATTGTCACGATGAACCCACGGAGTCAATCCGTACTTTATTATTAGGGATAGACTAGCACATATGGCCGTGCGTTGCAACGGAAGATAAAATAGTATGCATTTATTTAAAGTTAGTGAGAATTATTTGTACAAGTAAAACTTTGTGTGCAAACGAAAAAGAAACATTTAACTTCTCAGTTTCGCCGTCTGTTAAGGAAGCAATCCGCTATTTTTCCATGCATTGATTGAGGGCATTTAAGAGTTTTGTTATGTCATCGTATGCTAAACAAGGCCCATTAGTTAATCGATCTACTTTTCCTTTCAATCGACGGGATTTTAAGGTATGAAGTTTCTGAATATTCTAGCAAACATGAACAATATTTTAAATCCTGAACAGTTTTTTGAAAATTATGTACACTTTTGGAAAAACTCGAATAAAATATGTAAGGAACATCTTTTAAGATTCACAAACATTTTCTGAAAACATAATTTTTTTTAAAAAGATGAACATTATTTGGATTTCTGAACATTACTTCAAAATGGGACATGTGCTGAAAATCATAAGATTTTAAAAAAATGTGTATCTTTTATACACGGACATTTTTTTGGAAAAACTGGAAACTTTGTGCAAGTTCTAATATTTTATGAAATAGCAACAAAATTTTGGATATTTTCTAAAATTTGTTTTTTCATTCGGAATATTTTTTTTTAGAATTTTTAATTTGCAAAATAAATAGGCATAAAGGAGAAACTTACAGTGTGCAGGTTGGGCAGCTTCTTGTTCACCATCTTTTCGAGAGCAAGAGCCAAACTCCATTGCTAAAACCA